GCGGTAGGCCGAGCCTCGGACTTGATAGCTGGGCGAGGTACTGGTGGTTTAAGGGAGGGGGGAAATAAAAATTAAACCTGCACAAAGTGTACCAACCTGTGAAAAAGGAAGGCAATTACTTCTTAACTGAAAACTTACACATCAGACAAACCACACACATTTCCTACCCTCCAAACCCCGCCCCCCGCCTCCCCCTCCCCCCCACCTGCTTTTCACTTATAATAAAAAAATGCCTTCTGCTGTTCGTTTATCCTGATCAAAAGACGATCAACAAGGGCATTGAACACGATGTAAATAATTTGCACCAGCCGAAAGCTCCACAATGTGGGCACTTTGGTTATACTTGTCTTCTTCAGAGAGTAGTAGAGTACCATATTTGCCCACATTGTGGATGGATGAAATCCACAATGTGGGATGACCTTCCGAAGAAGTGAAAAAATATGTGGACATATTTGCCAAGTATGTGTACAAAACAGGCCCAAGTCAGCTTTCTCCCACTTGATTCTGCTTGCGAGCAGGTGTCCCCCATACTTGCTCCTGTATTCATCCGTCACCTCCTTCTCCAACTCCTGAGCTCTTTGCTCTTCCTCGTATTTTCCCTGGATCCCGTTCATCTTCCTCTCTCTCTCTCTCTCTCTCTCTCTCGTCTTCTTCTTTTTCTTTCTTTTTTTTTTGTAATCTGGAACATTTCTTGATTTATGAGTGTCATCCTTGCTCAGGGGCCATGCTAATCTTCGCTATATCGTTCCAATTTTAACGGAAGTGTGAAAGGACTCCCATTCAACTTCCTCCCAATTGATTCTGCCTACTAACCAGGCGTCCTCACACTTGCTCCTGTGTCCATCCTTCACCAGGTTCACCTCCCTCTCCCACTCCTGATTTCTTTTCACTTCTCGTATTCCTTGGCTCCGGTTCATCTCTCTCTCTCTCTCTCTCTCTCTCTCTCTCTCTCTCAGGGGTGAACATTTCTCGATTTTTGTGTCATCCTTTCGCTGTGGCCATGCTACTCCTCTGTATCCTTTCAATTTTATCAGATGTCTCAAAGGAATCCCATTCATCTTCCTCCTCCCTCACCTGATCCTCTTTCTCTTCCTCAATTTTCACTCACCCTACTTACCCTTTTCGTCCGCCTCTTCTCGTGCCTACTTATCGTTGCCCTTCTCCCCCTTCTCTCTTCTGCTACCACCCCTCTCTCTCTCAACATCTGACAGTAATTCTTCCCCTTCCCTTTTCTCCCTCCATCTCCCTCACCTCCTCCATAGATTGCTCGAAGCTAAATATGAATTAAAAGTTAAAAACGCATGCAATATGAACCGAAAAATCTCACAACTCTCGCTCTTTAAGGCTTTGATTCTTGGGAATCGCAAGTTTTTTTTCCATAAGAAACCCTCTTTTTCATATGGAGTGCAAACTTGATGGGAACAGCACACGGACCAGGATATGAGACATCAAATGCATCACACAGCTCTGCCTGCAATGGAGCAGGTCATGAATGGCTTGATCGGAAGCCAGCCAAAGTTTCGGGGCATCCCGTACAAGAGAGTGAAGCCAGTGTGGAACGCACCCTATTTGTCGTTTGAAGCTGAAACCTCCGCCGAGTATCCAATAATGAATGCGTCGGTGCAGACAATCAGCAGGGAAGGAAGATTAGCATGGACCCTGCGCAAGAAAGAAAAGAGAGAAGCAAGTCTGGAAGTACTCACCCTATAATAGCAAAGGTCATAGACTCCAGGAGCAAATACAGAAATTCTGAGGGGCACTCGAGCTTTCTTCCCAGGTTCCAGTCCCTTCAGAACTCTGCAGCTGGAGCCGATCCACAGGAATGGCCCCAACTGGGGTACGCTACACAAGTGCTCCTCAAATAATTCTGCATTTTGATTGCCCCCTGCCAAGGCGCTCCCAACTGATACCGGTCCTCCAGGAAGACCCTGTTTTACCAAGCCTGACCCGGAACTGCTCGTAGACGCAACTCTCTCTGTAGCGACAAGTTTGTACCAACCACCCTTACTGCTCAGGGAACTAGTGTTCGAAACTGCAGTCAGGGAGCCACCCCCTCCCCTCGGTGTCGATTTCCCCCCTCCTTCAGAGGCGGACAGCGGTAGAGAACTGGAAGCTAATACTGGGTCCAAAGTCTCGATTCGAATAGAGGCGGCCTTATCAGAGCAATTCTGGACGACAAGCGACAGCGGCACTTCAACAGAAGCTGATGAAGCGAAATCATGGCTCACGCATGAGGGCACTTCCAACACCCAGCGCACAGGGGTCGGCCCTGTAACACTGCACACACACGAGTCAAAATCAAACAAACGCACCAAAATTGTATCAATCAGCTTATTTGTGTTCGGAGTTACGTACACAGGTAACACTTTGCATTGTACAATAACCTCTCAAAAAACACACTTGAACAATGGACTGCAAAAGTTTATAGTGATAGGCACGCCCAGGCAACAGTCAGGTTGGAATTCTATCCACATAGTAACCCCAAAGACTTGCCTAGAAGACTTCAAACTTACTCAACAAACTGGGGCCCGTGTCGAATTCTCAAATTACGAAAACAACTCAAAAGAATCAAAACTCCATTAACATTAATCCACCAGTTCACCCATACCTATTTTCTCGAACCGAGAAGTGCATTTGACCAGGCCTGCTTTGAATGGGTACAGCAAGTCGGCAAATGGAAGGCTCCCCTGGTATCAGCAGTGTGCGTGACAAAGGGGGGTGCCATTTTCGTTGTGGCTCCACCACTTACCAGATGTGCAATACGCATGAATCTTCCCCTAGACCATGGAGAGAGACACAGTCCTAATGAAGGCCTTTTCAGATGTGTATCTCGTTTTTCTTTTTCGTTTTTCTTTTCCGTTTCCCTTTGAGGCGCTGTATCTTTACATTTGTGTGGGATGATTCATTCACGACTTGGCCCTCACCACACACCTAGCATGTGCAGCAAAGACAAAGCTCAGAACAGAATGTCTCTCTTTCATGTTCTGTTTTTTTTTTCCCTGAGGTGCGGTCTCTTTCCGATTTGTTTAAGAAGATTCATGATCGAGTTGGGCCTCTCCTCACGCTCTACACATCCAGAAAAGACAAAACTTAAGTTACTGTGTATCTAAGACTTCCTTTTTTTTCTTCTTTCGACGCACTGTATCTTCTCAATCCGTGGGCACCTCTGAAGTTCTTGTCCATGATGAGTCATCACTGCAGGTCGCGAATGGAAGTTCCCTTTATTTTGTTGTCCCACCACCACTTCGTCTGCCAACGCTCTACCAACCCTAGGCCGAACGGGTGAGGCTCGGTTGCCGTCTACAAGTTTTTGACGAGCAGTGACCCTGTGTGAACTGGTGGTTTAACAAGTCTTTTGAAATTCAGAGAGAGACACGGGCCCTTAGATTACCACAAACACGAGAAGTGTTCATTTTTTTTTTTGGAAAAAAAAAACCACCACCACGAACGTCATGTACAGTGTTACGATCACCTCTTGCAGGCCCTGTTCTTTGACTACTTCCCTAGGTCTGCATTTTGACGGACTACTCGGCCTTGCGGCTGCATGGTACGCACATGTAGCTGTTGAGTAAGAGCCTAAAAGGTAATGACACTGATGAGATCAAAACCTTCCCCCCTCGCAAAAAAAAAAAAAAAAAAAAAAACTCATCCAGTTGGATACCATCATAAATTTTGACTGACCGAACTCGCTAAGGCAAGGAATATGAGTGAGAGCAATAGACAGAAAACCAAGTTGCAAAATAACGAAGAAGCTCAGATAGTCATGAACCAAGCAGAGAGTGCAATGCACCAAGATACCTTCCAAATAAGAGCAATACAATGAACTCAGGTGTCAATGTCGCCACTCTCTCGTCACACCAACACTGTACCCAATGTCGCACTTAATGTCTGGCGCCCAGCTGTTATGATCTTGGTTGTCTGACGATTTTTACCCCCACTGACACACAGACACTCTCATACACGCCCATACATGCATAAGAGAAGGGGGAGAGGAGACAGAGTCCACACTGCACACAGATCAAAGTAGGCAGCGGAATACAGCTATGCATAGATGGGGAGAAGACACAGTGTTTCTCTCTCTCTGACAAACTCCCAACAACCAATCACAAGTAGAACCTGCGAGGAYAACAATTGAAATTGCACTGATGATGAGCCAACTCAAACAATTATCGTAACAGAGTTTGTTCCAGTATCTCGCCACTCTCAGAACTCACACCCCACTCTCTATCCTACACCCAGTTAGTAGCGCCACATCAGAATGGCCTCCTAGAGGCCAGCGCCAACCACCCTGAAGAAGAACAGGTCCTGTGATGTGTCTTCAGTGCCGATGGCCAACTCTGACGAAGGAACAGGCAGCTATGGCTGCCACCACCCACGAGTACACAGTGTAGAGCCTCGATGTAGCCCGGCCAGACGCAGATACCTTCAGGGGTAGATGCGCTGAGGATGCCCCAGCTACAGCAGGCTCAGAATGGGCCGGCTATTGGTTGCTGTCAACGGCGAGGTCTCAGGATGCCGCCTGCAGACAGTCACCGCCACCAACTTGCTTGGCTTCTCCAACGCTGCTTCGAGAGAAATGAACTGCCAAAAGTCCTGCACCGATGTGCCTAACTTATCTATAGACTACAGCTACCCTAGACTAGACCTAGACCGGACTGACTGACCGACCAGTACCGTTTCTGTTTCGGCCTCTCGGCCTCTACCGGACCCGACTATAGGCTATAGGACCGTCTATCAGCATAGGCCCTCAGGGCCTGTCTGTCCTAGGGGTAGCCCGGGCCTGCCATTCGCAGCTACGGTAGTAGTAGGAAATTCAGTTAGTGTTAGGGCTGTATTTTCCCGAATTTGCGGATATGCCCCTCACGAATTTCCTCACAGGTAGGTCACTCGGTTAGCCCTGAGCCAAACAAAATTGGGAATCTAGCCTACCGCTGTACTATAAAGCCTCGCAGTCAATCTCGGCAGTAGAAATCAGCAAGTCATTGCACAGCACCCAACCTATCCTACTCTGCCTATCTAGCCTATCTACGTTCTTGCAACTGGATCACTCTGAAGTCAAAGACCAATGTACGTGACGTTAACACCAATGCCGACCACCAGCATACACCAGGTAGGTTCTCTCGCCTCCCCTCATCACCCCTCGTCTCCCCACCTCATGCGCCTCCTACCCGAAGACTTTCGCCATCACCTGCCCTGCGCCCCAGCTGCCCGGCTATGGCTGCTGTGCGCCCGCTGCCTCAGCAGCGCCCCTCTCACCACTGCGCCCGTGCGCGCGTCCGACCAGCAGGGCCCCAGTGTCTACGCCCAGGGGAAGTGTAGCCCCTGTGTCTGTCTGTGTGGGCCTGGCTGGGGAAGTTTCCAGTAGGTTCCAGTCGGGCCCCAGTGTCTATGCCCAGGCCCACTTCTACAGTTAAGGGCCTGGGCCCTTTTCAGTTGGCCATGTACGGGTAGCCTTCCAGGCTCCAAGTGTTGGCCGCATTCTCATTGGCTCGTGGAGGTTGTGTGACGACAATGCTGCTTTCTCATTCTTCCGTGGTCGCTGCGTGATGTGTCGGATTCACACTGCGTGTGCCCAGGGCGCAACCACCCAGCCTTGGGCTCAACTGTACAGTGCAGCCCTTCTTGCTGGAAAGAGCCTGGAGGCTCTCGTTTCTCTGTAACCAACTGGCGTGTTGCAACTGTCTGAGTACCCACATATGGAAAATGTAGTAGGCCTTTTGAGGATATTCCGGCCTGCCTTCACTTCGGGCAGGCACAATGCTTGCTGGGCCCCTCAGCCGAGAACATTTGCATGTCTGTTGGGGCCCCGTGAGGGCTCGATCCTCACACTAACTCTACTGACTGTATGATTGTGAGGCTGCCCATGCCCTGAAGGGAGAAACTTTGCTGACGAGCCTCCTGCCCGTGGGGTCAATCAATTGATTTTCATGTCAATCTCCTCTGATTTTGACTCAAGGTGACAGCATTCCAGTCTATGCATCGACTCGAATGCCCTTTCATTTTGAAAAAATATTACTACCGGTAGTAGCTAACTTTTTCAAACTAAGTCTTTAGCTTCAAAATCCCAGTAGTTGTTGCTTATTGGAGAGGAGCAGGGACATGATTCTTTTTTCTATATGCAAGGAATATGGTGTGAACGATATACAGTAAACCAAGTTGTGAAATCACACAGATGTCCAGGTAGTCGTGTCCAAGCAGAGAAACCATCCATATAGAGCAATACAATGAAGTAATGAGCCAATGTTCAAGCCCGTAGGCCACACCAACACAGTATCCAAAGTCGCTCCTCTCTGTCTGGCACCCAGCGCCCAGCCTACTCTACCCAACTATCCTACCTACAGCTGGTTCACAGAACAGGCTCACTTCAACTCTCGAAGACCAATGTACATGAACACCATAGCCGACCTCTCATCATGTACCAGGTATGTATCTCGTCACCCTCAATCAGACCTTGATTACCCCACATTGTGCCTCCTTCCCTGAAGACAACCAGATCGCCCGCTGTACCCCCGGGCGTCGAGCAGCCCGGCTATGGCTGCCTGCGCCCCGCTGCCCTGCAGCACCCCTCCTCACGACTACGCGCCCCGTCAGCGCCTTTGGCAGCAGTGCAGCATCAAGCGAGAGCGCAGCAGCACTTTCGCATTGCCTGCACTGGCCAGAATGCCTGGCCTGGGCTGCCTCGCTTCTTTTATGGAAGTGGCAGCCTCCTGGATGCTGCGTGTGGCCTGGCTGGAAGCTTCCAGTAGCTTCCTGTTGGGCCTCAGACCCTGCGCCCTTTTCAGTTGGGCACGGCCTGAGTCTCCGGACTTGGGCTGTTTGCTGCATCTGCGCGGGGCTCCCAGGCAGGTGCGTAGGCGGTACTGCTTTTCCAAAGGCCAGCGGCCAGCGGCCAGCTTCCCAATGTACCGGCCCTGCTTTGTGTGTATGTGCCCAGGCGCAACTGTCAAGGCCTGGGCCAACTGTATGACGCACCTTAGTGAGGCTCACGCATCTACCCAACCAACTGGTGTGCTGCGAGACCCTGAATACCCACATATGGAAATGTCGAATTTTGACCTCTGATGAATATTCAGGCCCGCCTTCACTTAGGGCGGGCACTCGGCTTGCTGGGGGCCTTAGCCCAGAACATGTGATGTCTTATAGGGCCCCTTGAGGGTTTGTTCCTCACATATATAAGAAAAGAAGGAAAAACACTTAAAAAAACCCTAAAAAGGCTAATTCTTTAAGCCCCCCCAAAAAAGGCTAATTCTTTTATTGAAGAGAAACAGAGACAGGATTCCAACCTATGCATCGACTCGAATGCCCTTTTTATCTAGCTTTTCCACACTACCTTAGCTTCAAAATGTTCCAGTAGGTGTTGGTTACTGGAGAGGAACAGAGTAATGGCAAGGAACTCCTCACCTGCAGTGACAGAGATGATGCGATCCAAAAGTCGAGAGTTGCTCCGTTCGTGATGGTGTCCACGATTCCCGCGTTCTCCTGTGCTCCCACAGCAGAACGAAATCCACCGATTGAGGGCAGGCTGAAGGGTACTCGCTGTCTTTGATTACATCCTCATCGAGCACAGACCTCTTCCCCTGCATTCCATCAGAACCAACCTGTGGAAGCTCAGTATTTTTTTTTAATTTTTTTTTTTTTTTTTTTTTTTTTTTTTAATTTGGACCATTTCTCAATTTATGCGTGTCATCCTTGCGCAGGGGCCATGCTAATCTTCTCTGTATCATTCCAATTTTAACGGATGTCCCGAAGGACGTGGAAGCTCACTATTTACCAATCTTGTTTTTAAATAATGGTACTCACTGTAACTCACACGTAAAGTTTTGACAGGCAGGTCAGCAGTTCAAGGACTGTCGGATGCAATAGTGTTCGGGGCTACGAACCTGGCTACCTTCTTCCCCGGTATAATATCATACGGTCATTATAACTGTATTTGCGGCAAGTCTTAGGCCAGATAGAGCAATATTAACTGGAAGAAAACGCTCTTGCGAGCACCGGTCGCCACCAGCGCATACCTTCTCTTTGGGGAAAGATGGTACTCCATTTTCAAAAAAAGAAAAAAAAAAATACAAACAGGAATCTCGTAATGAGAGTGAACGAAAATGAGGAGGAAACACCAACGGGCCTATTAGCTCAGTTCGTACACCAAAAGAACTGTTGAAATACAGACCCAAGTTCGAATCCAGTTGCGGTCAGATGAACAGAATAAAATAATTTTGAATTACCTGGAGCCGGTCAGCTCAATGATCAGATCTCAAGGTTGTCAACTTGTCACCCCCTTTTTTTTTTTTGTTTCCCCAAACGAGGAAGAAACCGAAACTAAACCAGATGACACCGCTAAACAAGTTGCTGTTGTTGTTCGTACTTGTTACTCTAATCAGAAAAATCTGCATACGTGAACCACTTAGTGCGGACAACGGGTCTCGCTCAACTACACAACACTCCACAGGCATGTGTAAAGTACCGCCTGCGAGATACGTTGTGATTAATCCAACTTTTCGAATGTATGCCGACCATTATTAGATCCAGTACATTTGTAACCTTCTGTAGTGCAACGAGGCCCAATCATAATCATAAAAGACTTTGCAGCGCCAGATTGTTAGTCGTTCGACGTGTCGCTATGGACAACTCTTCGACGAGAAGATGGCCTGAGGGAAGTGGGAGCGACAGGAATAGAAAGGACTAACATTGTTCTGGGATTGAAGATTGCAGTTGTGCTGCTTGTGCACCCTTTTGAGAAAGAAGCTTGCAGTTGTGCAGAAGCAGAGCATTCGCTGGAGTTGTGTCATCCAGGCAGGTGGACTCACTTTGCATACTCGTCGATGCCCAGCGGCACAGCGCTGAATTTTGCCAGTAAAAAAAAAAACCAATGAGCAAGGGAGTGTGGTATGTGGAGAAGGCCTTTGTGAAAAGAGTGTGAAGAACGCATGCAAAAGGGGACGAAAGCGGGCATGTTTGGGGAAGCAAAAGCAGATGATGCATATGAGGATGGGGTAGAGAACGCCGACAGCGCACATGAGCAATGGGTAGCAACTGCAGACAGATGGGGTGGAAAATGCAGGCAGAGTGCAAGAGCGCAGTGCAATAAATTGCAGTATCCCAGTGGGACTGTACACTAACTGTGTTTGCTGGTTCCTTGGTTTGGGCCTTGTGGGACTGATCCCGTGACCTGTAATTTGTACGTTTGGTTTGTTAGCTTTGAGCCCTACTGGGCTTGATCCTTAGACCTGTAGCTATTAGTCTCTATTTGGCAGTCTTAGACCCTTAGGCTTTGCTGTTTTGTCGGCTTCTGCAGTTGCTGAAGTCAACCAGGGACTTGATCCCATGACTGGTAGTGTGTTTGTCGTGTTTGACTGTTTTTGAGCCTCATTGGGCTTGAACCTTGAACCTGCTGCTAATAGTCTCTACTCCGTAGTCTTAGGCCATTCAGCCTTGTTGTTTTGTCCTTTTCTGCCCTTCTGGAAACTGGTAGGCCCGTAGGTCTTTCTTTTGTGTGTTCTAGCCTTGGGTCCCCTTAGTCTAGGTTTCCATCTAGATGCATGTAATACATTTTCGTGAATTTCTGCTATCTTTATATTTCGCATCATAACCACAAATAAAAATAGAACAGCAATAGCTCCTACATAAACAACTAAAAAAATCATAGCAAAAAAATCAAGACCTAATAACACAAGTAAACCTGAAGTATTACAAAATACTAAAATGAGAAATGTAGATCTTGACTGTTTGGCCGTAGATGTTTGCTGTTTGGACGATCAGATAGGTCTGTAGGTGGCTGTTGTGTTGTAGGTCTAGGGAAGTCGGGTAGAAGTACGCAGAGGCCGACGAGTTTGGGGTTCTTTTGGTTCTTTTCGTTGCTTTTGTTTTCACGGTCTTGGTGGAGGTCGCGTTGCTTCCCTGCTGCACTATTGTGGGCATGTATGCCGGGCATCTTCTCCACATGCCGCTAGCGGCCATAGCTGGGGGAGGCCAGATCCATTGGTGACAGCGCTCGACGCCCAAGTGCTAATGAGCACTTCCTCATATTCGTGTGCCTGTTGGGGTTCGGTCCCCTGCCACCGAAGCTGCACTTTCAGCGGTTCTTCTTCGACGTGGCAGATGTTCATCTTCATCATCCTGGGAGCTGCGCTCCCCTGCTGAGTGGACACTTCATCTGCAGTGGGCTTCTTGAGTGGTCCAGAAAGGGGTGTTGGATTTAGGAGGCTGTGTGGAGATTGGCAGGCTTGATAGGTTGGGTGCTTGCAAGCACCATAGCTAGAGCTTGAGGAAGAGGGAGGAAGAAGAAGACTCCTGGATACTTCGATGAAACCTTGTAAATAATTGATCCGTGGGTGTCGATAACTTGGTTGGGATCCTTGGAAATTTGTGCTGTTGATTGACTTGGAGAGAGACGGTAAGTAGAATTCATTTTCATTTGAGTGAAAAGAAAACACCTGCACCATCGGTTAGCGTGAAATCCAGTGCTGCGCTAAGGAGCGCTAGTGCCCAGTCTAGGCCCGACGGGCTGACACCAACTAATACCCGCCGCCAACCTCTCGCCCAGCCGCCCGCGCGCCGTGCTTGCCCATCTTTGAATTTTCGAAGCTGGGCAACAATGCCCGCCATTGCCCTGAGGGCTCTAAGAAGCCACATCCGAGCGCGCCGCCTGCGTGCGCGCGTAAGCACCAAGAGGGCAGCTGGACACAGCGACCCTCGCTGACACTGCAACTGGTAACCAAGATCGCAGCTGGTTGAAGGCCATAGCTGGAGGCAGCAGCTTCACCACAGAGACGAACTGCAACAGCCCCCCAGCCGTAGACCGATGAGCCGCCGTCCTCCGTGAGACAGAAGGAAGTCCCAATCCGAAGGCCACCTCCGCTGGAGAACAAGTTACACTCCGAGACGGCTTCTGCGAATAAAACATCGGACGGCAGCGTCATACTCCAGACGTCAACCAGTAAGACTAAGTGAGAAGTCCACCTTCGCTCATCTTCACACTACCTTCCTGCCTACTACTAACTTAGCTATGCTGATTCCTCCATCCCGAGTTCACCACACACTCCCCACCATACACTCCCCACCATAAGCTTTACCCGACATTCCTTTCCCACGCCACCAACCCCCACCCCCTCTCTCGATGCTCCTCCTCCTCCCCCCCCCCCCCCCCCCCTCCCCTTGCCCACCCGCTTTCCCAAATATTCCTGACACAACCCCGCAGCACAACTGTCACTTTCTCCCCACGCAGCAGTCCCGCTTCACCCTCCCTTTCACGCTCTCCTCCCCAACCCTTGCCCACCTGCTCCCCCCAATATTCCCGACACGACCCCGCAGCAGAGCTGTCACTTTCTCCCCATGCAGCAGTCCCGCTTCACCCTCCCTTTCACACTCTCCTCCCCAACCCTCTACCGCCAACCCCACCTCCTCTCTCACACGTCCAACCGCCCCGGCACCATCCCTGACAATTCCCACACACCTCCAAACCCACGCAATGCATTGATACCCCACCGGACCACCCCCCAAAACCCATCATCTACTGACCTGTACTCCCCCTCGCCGAACACTCCCCACTGATTTTGCAACTCACCTTTCAAGCCCCTATCCCGGCGTGATCACTGACTTCGCAACAAGCATCACATCCACCTATCCTTCTCCCCCTCCTCCCCTATCATATCCCCTCCCACGCAGTCGCCTCCCTTCTCCTCAACCGCCTAGCAAGCACACTTGCAACTCTCCTGCTACCTCGATATCTATCCACGCGCCATCACAATAAATATGCCTGCGATCCCTATCCACCGGACGCCACAACACACTTCCCCACCCCCACCCTCCCCCCTCCTAACTCCGACCACATTCCTCCAGCGAGATCTGGTCGACCTCCCCTATCAGACAAGCCCCGGCGGTCCAACCCCCTTCTCCCGCCACCATCCCACAGCGATTCTCCCCCATCCCACTGCCCACGGACCCACTCGCGTTCACCAGTCAACACCCCCCCTAACTCCAACAACAATCTTTTAACCTCAAACATCCCCCCCCCCGAAACCCTACACCAACCGAATCCTATTCTTGCGCTGGGCATACCCGCATATGCCCATGCATGCAGCCCACCTTCCCACGTAAGCAAGATGTGACGAGCTGCAGCCACCCCTAACTCCCCGCGATCACAACTCCCCGAACAAGGGCTAGCTCGAAACAGAAGATAAGCGATTCACACACGACACTATAGACTGACAAGGAAAGTTTGAAAAAAAAAAAAACACAGCCCAGGGTCATCCTCAAGCATTAACCCAGCAAGCAGATATCGCCAATCACAAAATATTTCAAAGCTAGAATCTCCCCCCCCCTCCTCCCCCCCCTCACCCCTCCTCAACCCCGATCACGCATCCAACCTCAAGTTCAGCACAAACAAATTCTCAATTCTGGTACTGAGCAAGAACATGATGATGGTGGTCTTCAAGGACCCCGATCACGCATCCAACCTGATTAACAGACACACCACCCTGAACTGCCATGGTTCAGTCTGCACACTGTCCCGGTGGAAATTGGAAACGGCTCACAAAGCCACCATTTCCCCAGCTGCAGCCCAAAAACAATAACTCATCCC